TTTATATATAAGTATATAACAAGTATATATATATATATATATTTATATATGAGTATATAACAGGTATATAAACGGAATGTTGGCCGACCCTTGCTCAGGTTTAAAGATATGCTGAAAAGTAACCTTGCAGCTGCAAATATTGCACACACTGATTTGGAGAATACTGCCTTGGATCGCAAAGCTTGGAAAAGTGAAACTTACACTGGAATCAGGAATTTTATCAGCGTCAAGTGTTGTCAAGCTCCGTGAAGCAAGAGAAAGGAAAAAAGCCTCAGAGGGTGCCAGAGAAGTGCACCCTCTTTGCTCACACGCTTGCCCAATCTGTGGTTTTCTTTGCAAGTCATTAGCAGGTCTGAAATGTCACTCTAGATTCAAACATGAGGGTCATTAAACGGTTGTCGGAACCTCACACGTCGAAATCGACGGGAGAGTCCACAATAACAGGTATATATATATATATATATATATATATATATATATATTTATATTTATATATAAGTATATAACAAGTATATATATATACTATTATATACCTGAAGATGTCTGTAGGAACAGACGAAAGCTTGTGTAAAAATAACATCTAATACGGCAGAAATTTATATGAACAAGGATCAATTCATTCATAACGGATCTGAGGTTTTTGTGTAATATTTGAATTGTTTGCGAGATGGATGTCTCACCATTTAAAATTATTAACCTTTGCATTAGTTTTGTGTGAATAATTCATGTATTTGTAAATTGATTGCACGTTTACTTGTAATTTAAATATCTGATCCATGTGCGACTTTTGGTTAATAAGTGCGACATTATTGTAATTATTGAACAATATAGTTCATGCCACTTTGACAGTAAAATTTACCAGTAAAATAATTTGTTCATTACCATATTTGGTATAAACGCAAACATTTTAAAAAAAGAAAAAATTCAAAATCAAACTTAGCGTTGCTTTGGCGCGTTCAAAAACCAATATCTCATTTTCAATAGCATTTCGGATACAATACACATATATTTTCGATGTCCTCTTATTACTAAGAGAAAAAAACAAGAACAACATCTATTATATACCTGAAGATGTCTGTATGAACAGACGAAAGCTTGTGTAAAAATAACAACTAATACGGCAGAAATTTATATGAACAAGGATCAATTCATTCATAACAGATCTAAGGTTTTTGTGTAATATTTGAATTGTTTGCGAGATGGATGTCTCGCCATTTAAAATCATTAACCTTTGCATTAGTTTTGTGTGAATAATTCATGTATATATATATATATATATATATTTATATAAGTATATAACAAGTATATATATATTTATATATAAGTATATAACAAGTATATATACATATATATATATATGTATATATATATATATATATGTGTGTGTGTGTGTGTGTGTGTGTGTGTGTGTGCGTGTGCGTGTGCGTGTGTGTGACCGCGAGAGAGAATGGGTGGATGAGTGAGTGACAAAATGAAAGAGAGACAACAGACATCTTATACTGTCGCATCAACAGAACGGATATTTTGAAATCTATCTATATGATGATGATGATGATGGTGGTGGTGGTGGTAGTGGGCGCATGCTGTAGTGCCGAGCTAAATCAACCCGACAATGGCGCGCTGAGGAAATTCGCCTTCTTACCATTAACAGAAGAATTAATCACAACAGAAGCTATTATGTGCATTGATGTATGGTTCGATGCTTTTCGGCTTTTCAAATTTTTAATGGGTGTTACTCGTAAAATTAATTAAGAAATATTAAATGGCAGGGAAATATAATTGCCTCTGACACATTAATTTGATTTCACTCCGACGCTGGCATAGTTTACAGCCAGTGCAATTGAGTTAGTGCCGTGATTTTGTTGGGGGCTGAGTGAAATGATGTAGGACTTACGATCGTCAAATACCGAACACGAAGACCGCCATTAAAATAAATGGAACATGGAGGAAACGGGTGGTCGTGTGTATGTACGCATGCGTGCGGGTTTCTATATACGCATGCGTGTGGGTGTGTATGAAAAGTTACGTTTATAACAGGAATTAGGAGTAACTTCACGGCTAACGGCACAGTAAGTGGATAATGCGGTCAGGGTTCAAACTCGGGCTAGAAATTGTTAATTTTTATTTCAGTTGTGTATTTCGTTAATGCCTTTAATTTAATCTCTATTCCTGAGGAATCGGAGAGCCGAGTTCGAATTCCAGTCGAATCCATTACATTCCTTTACGTGCTAATATCCTTAGGAAAGGTATGAATCCTCTTCTTCTTCACCCTCCAGCTATGGGTAAATAGCAGGACAGACTGGGTTCTATAGACTTGGATTGCAACTGGTCTACCACAGAAAGAAATGGTAACCTACTACGGAAAAAAAAACTGCCTCGTCAGTCATGTATCGAAAGATACATGATCGCCTAAGCGGGTATCACGCATGGCACATAACTGAACTGAGTCCTGGGAATGACGACAAACTACATCAGGCAGCAAGGAGGAGCGTGGAACCACCTCTTAATTACCTCGTCAGTCATATATCGAAAGATACATGATCGCCTAAGCGTGTATCTCGCACGGCACATCACTGACTGACTGATGTGCTAATACCCTTGGGGAAGGTATAAATCCTCTTCTTCTCTCTCCCCTCCCCAACAGCTATGGGTAAATATCAAGGAATGACTTAAAAGGAAGAGGACTCGTGCTCTGGATTGGCCAAGTCGAGGTCCGGATGTCAATCCAATAGAAATGTTGTGGTTAGACCCGAAGCTTGTCAATTCTTGCCAGCTGTCCCCCCGACCTCTCTCAACTGGCTGACTATGCGTGTCGGAGTGTGCAAAAATCCCTAACAGCAGATACAAGAGACAGTGGCTACAGAAGACGTTTGGTTGAAGTAATCGCTGCAAAAAAGAGGTACTACAAGGTACTAACTAAATAGTTTCACATAATTTTGCACATGTCCAATTTTTTGTTTTGGTAAAATAAATCACTTTTTTTTTTAAATAAATAATTAAAATACATCCTTTTTTTTTATTTATTGTTCATTATTTGGAAAATCTATCCATTGAATTCATATACGTTCTAATACCCTTGGGTAATAGTATGAATCATCTTCTTCCACGCCCCACCATCTATGGGTAAATAGCAGGACAGACTGGGTTCTATAGCTTTGGATGGCAACTGGTCTACCGCAGGAAAAAATGGCAACCTACTTCGGGAAAAAAAATAGTCAGTCATGTATTGAAAGATACATATTCGCCTAAGCGTGTATCACGCATGGAAAATAACTGACTGAGTTTCCAGTCGAATCCATTACATTCAATTACGTACTAATACCCTTGGGAAAGGTATGAATCCTCTTCTCTTCCTACACCCAGCTATGGGTAAATAAGAAGACAGACTGGGTTCTATGGCTTTGGATGGCAACTGGTCTACCGAAAAAAAAATGGCAACTTACTGCGGGAAAAAATCTGCTTCGTCAGTCATGTATCGAAAGACACATGATCGCCTAAGCGGGTATCACGCATGACTGACTGAAAATCACTTACGTGCTAATAACCTTTGGAAAGATATGTATCCTCTTCTTGTCCCCACCCCCAGCTTTTACTTCTGCTATCGGCTATGTTCTTCATATCTCTTCTGCTATGTATCTATATATCCAAGCACCCGAGTGAAGAGGTACTGAGATGGGCGCACGCGAAAAGACCCTGAACCGCACACCCACCCATTGGCCGACAATGACTGATCCGGAGTTAAATAAAATGCAATATTACGTATTCTATATTTCCATTATGAGTCAATCCAACGGCATTACAAATAGACACCAAATCGGTTAAGTGAGCGGGAATAATGGCGCATGCGCCCACTATATCTTCTTCTTCTTCTCTTCCTCCTCCTCTCCTCCTTCTTCCTCCTCCTCCTCTTCTTCTTCCTCCCCCCTCCTCTTCTCATTCTTTTTCTTCCTCCTCCTCCTCCTCCTCCTCTTCTTCTTCCTCCTCCTCCAAATTCCTTCTTGGTCTTCTTCGTCGTCGCCGTCGTCCTTCTCCTCCTCTCCTTCTTCTTCCTCCTCCTCCTCTTCTTCATCTTCTTCCTTCTCCTCCTCTTGTACTTCTTCTTTTTCCTCCTCCTCCGCTTCTTCTTCTTCCTCCTCCTCTTCTTCTTCCTCCTCTTCCTACTCTTCTTCTTCTTCGTCGTCGTCGTCGTCCTCCTCCTCTCTTTCTTCTTCCTCCTCATCCTCTTCTTCATCTTCTTCCTTCTCCTCCTCTTGTACTTCTTCTTTTCCTCCTCCTCCTTCTCCCTTCTTCCTCCTCCTCTTCTTCTTCCTCCTCTTCCTACTCCTCTTCTTCGTCTTCTTCGTCGTCGTCGTTGTCGTCCTCGTCCTCGTCCTCCTCCTTTTTTCTTTCTCCTCCTCCTCTCTTCTTCATCTTCTTCCTTCTCCTCCTCTTGTACTTCTTCTTTTTCCTCCTCCTCCTCCGCTTCTTCTTCTTCTTCCTCCTCTTCCTACTCCTCTTCTTCGTCTTCTTCGTCGTCCTCCTCCTCCTCCTCTCCTTCTTCCTCCTCCTCTTCTTCATCTTCTTCCTTCTCCTCCTATCGTACTTCTTCTTCTTCCTCCTCCTCCTCCTGCCCTTCTTCTTCTTCTTCCTCCTCCTCTTCCTACTCCTCTTCTTCTTCTTCTTCGTTGTCGTTTGTCCTCCTCCTCTTCTTCTTCTTCTTCTTCTTCTTCTAATTCTTCTTCGAGTAGTAGTAGTTGCAGCAGCAGCAGTCGTCGTCGTCGTCGTCACAATTTCTTGTCGTTTGCAGTTTTCAATAGCGTCTGTCTTCTTGCCATCTCTCCCGAGCCATGTGAAATTTCCACCGACTTTTTATATGGATTATAGCATTTAAGACTTTTCTCTGATTGTTGGAAATTGTCCCATTGTATTTCTTAAACAAGAACCTAAAAGATATATGAAGTTATTCATAGGGTCTTGCTCAGGCACATAATTCTTTAAAGAGGAGGCTTACGGACACCTCACGTTGAAACACCAGTTTCCTTACGATGAGCGAAGTTAAGCAACGTAGAGCCTGGTCAGTACGACGATGGGTGACCGCTTGGGAAATACCAGGTGCTTCAAGCTTGGATGTGCAGGTGGTGATAAGGTCACGGAATTGTTTGACAGATATAAACATATAGATAGATATGAACTGAGATAGATAGATAGATATGAACATACTGAGATAGATAGATATGAACATACTGGGATAGATAGATAGATAGATAGATAGATATGAACATACTGAGATAGATAGATAGATAGATAGATAGATAGATAGATATGAACAGACTGAGATATGAAGATAGATAGATATGAACATACTGAGATAGATAGATAGATAGATATGGATAGACTGTGACAGACAGATAGGTACATACATAGAATTTGAAAAAAAGCTAAAATCTGAACGAGTTCCAATTCCAGTTATTTTCAATTACGCGCAATTATCCTTGGGAAAAGCATGAAACCATCTTTTCTCGCTCTTGACATCGATTAATTAGTAAGTAGAAAATCGTTATTATCTCAACAAAAAAATTGCGTAAAAAATATTTAGATTTCGGCATTAAATAACCCATAGAGTTGTTGATATGCCATTAGACAAAAACAACCAACCAACAGTCTTTATAGAGGATAGTTTTTGTGTCACCTCTGTTCGTGTCAAATACATTTGCTTTTTATCGTAACACTGCACATTAAAAAAGGTAATTATTTAGCCATTTTTGGACTGGCAGTAACTTTTCAGCCATTAAAAATTGCTTCATTTCTTTTTGTTGATTCATGTTTTTATCCAGCAGTTTTGGTCAAATAAAAAATTCATTTAGTATTTTCAAATGGCGGATTAAAAAGGACAATGCTACAAGATCTGCCATTACTTGCTTTCTCCATTCCCTGCCTCCACAGATGTAGTGACTTAATAAACCTCGTATCAGCAGCAGCCCTAAATAAATCTCGTATCAGCCGCAACCGTTAATAAACCTCGTATCAGCAGCAGCCCTTAATAAACATAGTACCAGAAGCAGCCCTTAATAAACCTCGTATCAGCAGCAGCCCTTAATAAACATAGTACCAGCAGCAGCAGCGGCCTTTAATAAACCTCGTATTAGCATCAGCCCTTAATAAATCTCGTATCAACAGCAGCCCCTAATAAACCTCGTATCAGCAGCAGCCCTAAATAAATCTCGTATCAGCCGCAACCGTTAATAAACCTCGTATCAGCAGCAGCCCTTAATAAACATCGTATCAGCAGCAGCCCTTAATAAACATAGTACCAGAAGCAGCCCTTAATAAACCTCGTATCAGCAGCAGCCCTTAATAAACATAGTACCAGCAGCAGCAGCGGCCTTTAATAAACCTCGTATTAGCATCAGCCCTTAATAAATCTCGTATCAACAGCAGCCCCTAATAAACCTCGTATCAGCAGCAGCCCTTAATAAACATAGTAGCAGCAGCAGCCCTTAATAAACATCGTATCAGCAGCAGCACTTAATAAACACAGTACTAGCAGCAGCATCCCTTAAAAAACCTCGTATCAGCAGCAGCCCTTAATAAATCTTGTATCAGCAGCAGCCCTTAATAAGCATAGTGTCAACAGCAGCCCTTAATAAATTTCGTATCAGCAGCAGCCCTTAATAAACATAGTACCAGCGGCAACCCTGGGAGTATAAAAAAGAAAAAAGACGAACCCTTAAATAAATCTTTCTTCTTGTTTTTCATCCTTTCGAAGTGGGTGCCATCGGATTTTCACACTGAAGTAAAAAGAGCTGTGGACGCTTCACATATGAACACACCTATACAGGCAAATCCGACTCAATTTTTTTTTCATATTTTTCAAATAAAACATGACCCAGTGCACATGTTGGTACTTCGTATGTCCATTCCACGAAATCTTTTCTTGCAGATTGACCACAGATTCTCGATTGGATTTAAATCAGGAGAGTTTCCGAGCAAGCCATACTTTGATTTACCATTGTGTTCGTGTAGCGTTACAATTTTCGTACGCTTCCTTGGTGTAACGCCCATCGCAGACAATGGCCGTAGGACAACTAATCGACAGTCGAGTCAATAGTGTCTGAGTGTTATGAAAATCTGATGCAATCACGGATGACGCAATATTTTTCAAGGACAAACAATTTTCATTAAACCTTTCTAAAATACATTCATATTAGTGCACACCACTGAATAATGTAAATAATGTACATAATACCTCATCTCAGAATTATAGACAGGTATTAAATTGTTCATTTTGAAAAAAAAAAAAAAGATCAGTTGGCTGAATGTAAAATTTATTTAATAAAGGTCGTAGAAACCCATCAATTTTTAGGTAGGCTGGGCAATTTATGTCAGCCACCTGAAAATAAACTATCTTTATAAGAAAAAGTGTTTTTGAGTCAAAAGTTTTAAATTAGATGTACCGAAGTTTTTCAATTTAATTAGGTGATAAATTTTATCAGTAATACATTTTGATAATTAAGATGACAC